CCCCCCCCAGCTCAGAAATGTTTTTAGGGTAGAATTGTATATGGTAGGATTCAAAGGAAGCTAGAAAGACAGTTAAGTGGCAGTGACACAGAGTTAACAAGGAAATTGTGTCATTACTTTTGAAGATCTTCAAAGTGCACTACCTTTTCTGAGGTAATGTTTCCCTCTTGAGGCTGAAAAGTTCTGGCCTTTAGACTTGTGATGGGTTCTAGTACACAGAGGAAGTACTATACTGTGGTTAAAAACATGGGTGCTGCCTGGCTGGCATGGCTCAGTGGCTGAGCGTGAACCTATGAACCAGGAGGTCAGGGTTCGATTCCTGGTTAGGGCACGTGCCTAGGTTGTGGGCTTGATCCCCAGTAGGGGGCGTGCAGGAGGCAGCCGATCAATGATTCTTATCACTGATGTTTCTCTCTCCCTCTCCCTTCTTCTCTCTGAAATAAAAAAAACAAAACAATGGGTCTAGGAAAAAAATATTTAAAAAAAAGTATTCATTAAAAAAACAAGCAAACCAGCATGGGTGCTGATGTGCTTGTTCTGTATCCTGATCATGGTGGTCGTTAAATGAACCTACACAAATATTAAAATCCGTAGAACTGTATATCAAAAGGAACACATGTCAGTTTTATTGTATAATTTAAAATCCCACATGGGTGCTGGAGCTAGACTGCTTGGGTTTGTTTGAATCACAGCTCCATCACTTACTAGTTGTGTAACCCTGGGCAAGTTACTTGTGCCTCAGTTTCCTCATCTGTAAATGCAGGTAATATTTCCTGCATGTTGTTGTAAGGATTCAGTTAATATTTGTAAAGCACTTCAAATAGTGCCTGGCTCAATTCTATTATAAGAATGTAAAGGAATAATAGTAAGATATGTAGGCTATCTTATGATTATAGCAACGATGAGTAGTCTGAAATACAACTAATGTGAGGTACTTCTGCCTTTATGCAAGAAAGGAAGAAGCCCTAGAAAAGTGTAAATGCTACTAAGAAAATGTAAGTCTGCTCTGTTGCTATTGTCCAGGGAAGACAAACTAACCAATCAAACAAAAACCCCCTTTCATTTTCATTCTCATTCATTCATGCATTGAATGCCTATTTTCTAGGGATTTACTGAAAAGTAAGAAATTATCTTGGCAGGCATTTACTTCCCAATCACCTGATGATGTGTTCTTTAGCACGTGTCTTTTTTTCGTGGCCTCGGTTTTCTCAAATTTGCTGCAGCTACTGGCCAAAGGTACTGACAATGTCTGTGATTAAGCGTCGTACCTATTGCATCTACCAATGGGAATATTAAGACCCAATACATTCTTCCACTAGGTTGACTACATAGAGGGTAAATTCTGAGGATTATTTGTGAAGTAAATGGCAGCTTTTGAAAAACGAACCTGGGGGTTCAAGCCATGGCTGTTTTCAGGATGATCTAGACACACTTAGAAATATTCCGATCATAAAGCTCCTTTACTAAATGAGGGGATAAATGTGCTCTTTGATATGAAGGGAAAAAGTGAGGCATCATTCCTATGTGATATTAAAGTTATTACTCTTGAACCATTTCCTTCCCACTGCGGGGCATCGGTGAGGCAGACAGCAGGGTGGAGAGACACTAAGAGCAGGCAGAGGTGCTATCTATTCGAATCACACGAGTCTGAAGTCTTGTTTTTAATGTTTAAGCGTTACTCTTTGACAGTGGAGAGAAAACAATCCCCCTGGGAGGAGGAAAGCAGCCAAGACAAAATGGAACAGTCTGAGAAAGAATGGAAATGATTCTATTGCTCCACCAGGCAGAGCCAAGTGGGAGGGAAGCCAGGGTAAATGATCAGAGGCTGTCTACGAAACAGCTCGCCCCAGCACTGGGTGCCTGCTCAGTGAGGCAATAACAACTCCACCATGGCTGGCACGGCTGAAGCTCCAAGTTAGTCATCTGCAGGAAACCAGGCTTGATCTTCCTTTTGCAAGAAGCGTCCGAATGATCAAAAAACAAGCGCACAAGAGTGTGTCTGTACTCCTTGGTGGGCATGGGAAGGAAGTGTCCTGAGTAACAAACAAATTTAGACTCTGGGGAACTACACAGTAAAACCCTAGTGATTGGTTCAGCTTGCCATTTATGGTGATTAAAAATACAAAATGTGTTAAACTTTGTCTCAGTAACTCTGGAAAAAATGATGCTGTTTTAAAGGGGGGGAAAAAGGTGTAACTTTTAAAAATAAAACTTTGAGTTTAATATCACATTAAAGTCAAAAAGCCCTTTAGTGGCACATATTTTATGTCTTTTTAGGTGTCACGAATACAAAAGAAGTGACATACCAAAGGCCACAAGGTTGCAGAGCCAAGTAAATGATCTAATGTAAACTTGTTTTCTAGCCACTCACAACAACCTGTTCTTGTGGAAGTGAGGGGGCTGTCCCGACACTTTGCCATTAATCTCTCCTCTTTACTAATTCTTGCAAGCTGCCATGGCATCAATGATTACTGATTCAAGGGAAGTCTTTATACTCAGATTAATGGATTAAGATGTATCAGTAAACTGACTAAAGCTCAGAAACCAACTAACAGAATTTTGTTAAAGCAAAACCCACTGTGGAACAGTTGAACCAGGCCAGCAGTGATCTGGGCTGCATTAGGCTGGCAGAATGCGAAGTAAATTAATACCAGATCCTGCCAGAAGTCCTCCACTGTCTAGGCATGGCGTCTTTTTGTGTGTGAGGTATTGGAACCACCCTTTCCTGCTTTTTACTGAGAATCATAAAAGGTTAGGACTAAGAAAAACCTGCCACTTCACTTTCTAGGTGAGAAAATGCCTAGGGAACCTGAAACTTACTTAGTGAATTGCACTGCTTGAAACTCCTAGCAAAGTACCTTGAACATTTTTAGATATGCCTCAGTCAAGCTTTATGAAACAAAAACATTGAATTTTAGAGGTAAGAGAGACCTGAGAATATAAGTTATGAATGTTTAAAGGTGGAATCTTTGTTAGTCAAGAGGCCTAAAAGCCTAGAGAGAAGGTGAGGAAGAAATGTTCTGCTTTCTAAAATATGTGTTCAGTTATCAGGGTAATGACAGCATCCGTTTTTAGGTTCTGTATTTCTCTACAAATGCCAAGTTTACCATATTTCCTTCATTCTACCTGAAGGTTAGGCCTAAGCTCCAAATTGAACAGTAGATAGAAATATAATGGCTACAATTTAACTTGTAAAATTAGTGGTATTTCATTCTGTCCATAATGAAAAACTGGAAATCAGCTGCCAATTTGAACTTGGGAAACTACCGCCCTCTAGAGGGTGGGTTTGGAAACATCAGCGGTACTTTTAGGGTGTCAGTGACTGATGGGGTAGGGGGGAGGTGCTGCCAGCATTTAATATCTGGGGATGAGGGATGCCCTGAAATACTTAAATGCAGTTTTACACAGAGAGAACTACCTTCCCCAAGATGCCAATAGTACTCACTTTCAAACACGATGAAAGTGAGATGTACAAAGTTTTTACAAGTTGCATGTGTACCCTCTAGCTCCTTTCTCACTGCATCCTCTTATTCTACGACAGAGAATATGAGACTGTAAAAAGTTTATGCTAAACCTGAGTCTACAGGAAATTCATGGACCTGACTGCATTTCAGGCCAGCTTATCCCACTAGCATTTATCTCAATGTGGGGATCGTCTGGGACTTGGCTTGCCAACTGCTCATTGTATTCAGCTAGGAATAACACATCAGAAAGTAAAAATTTCTGATTGCTGTAATGCTACACAGTGTATACAACTGTTAAAATGGTTGAACACCGATAGTTACAGAATAGACTATGCATGCTAGACATAACTTGAATCCTTTTGTACCCAAGATTTTCAGACATTTTTAACTCATGTAAGATAAACTTCTGCATGTTCTCCAGTGTTCATTCTCCCCTTCTTCTCTTAAGAATAAAAATCTGAAATGGTCCCCATTTCCCCCTACATCTCCCAGCTTCCTTGCAGGTGGGTATGGCCACGTGTTGACCAAATGGACTGTGTGTAATGATGGATGCAACTTCCAGGTTTTGCCCCCTTTATTTATTTAAAATATATCTTTTTTATTGATTTTAGAGAGAGGAAGGGAGAGGGAGAGAGAAACATCTATGATGAGAACCATCCATTGGCTGCCTCCTGCACGCCCCCACTGGGGATCGAGCCCACAACCTGGGCATGAGTCCTGACCAGGAATCTAACCTTGATCTCCTGGATCATAGGTTCCTGCTTAACTGCTGAGCCATGGCGGCCAGGCTGCCCCCTTCTTTTAAACAGAGAAGCTGCTGCTTTTGCACCTCTACTCCTCTTCCCTCTCACTGGGAAAGGATGGCCACTGGAGCAAACACCTGACCTAGAAATGGGAGCATGGAGTGTTCCACCAGCGGGATCCTTGGCTGACTACAAAGTGCAGAGCCACCTACTCACTTCTATCTTATTTTGGAGAAACTGATTTTCTGCCACTTTTTCATATTCCAATTGCTGAGTTGTCCTCTCAACTAGACTCCAAATAAGAAATCTGCACTCTGCTGGTGTCATTCGGTTGGTTGAGCATTTGTCCCGTGCACTAAGAGGTTGCTGGTTTGAGTCCCAGTCAGGGCACATGCTCAGGTTTTGGGCTTGATCCCCAGTAAAGGGCCTGTAGGAAGCAGCCGATCAATGTTTCTTTTACTGATGTTTCTCTCTTCCTCTCTCTCTAAAATCAATAAAAACATATTTTAAAAATTGTTAAAAAGTGAAATGTGGTCTCAGTAAAAGAACAGTAGTGAGAGAAACTTGAATGTAGCAGAACTCCTTTTTAGGTATATTTGGGTCACGTACATATGTACACCCCACAAAAACAACAACTTGTATCTCCAAACTCAATACATTACAAATAGGCACAGTTCAGAGTATTTAAAAAAGGGTGGGCACAGGGGAGCTTTATTATAGCTATACAGTTAATATCAGCATGAGCAAGGTCAGCTCTATATTTTCATCTGTTTTTTCTTCTTCTGCAGATTGTACACAAGGGAAGGAAGCCTCTTGGTTTTATAGGTCACACTTCCCTTGATGCGTTCTCCTTTGATGTTAACGATATGCGGCAAGAGAGGGGGCCGGACCGTCAGCATTGTTCCTTGAGGTGTATAGCCTCGCAGATGCAGTCTGTCTGTAAACTGAGGAGTTACTGCAACCCAACCTATGCAGGCATGCAGCAGAACACAAAATGGTGTTAGCAACCATCTTTCCCCCCACCCCCCACTATCACAATTATTCATCCAGCTTCGCACATTTGGGGAAATCCCAGGGGTGAGTACACCCGAGTGCAACGGATAAGCCTCACCCTGGGAAGACCACCTTTGTGGTCATGGATCTCCCCTGCCAGGTAAGTATGCTAGCAGCCATCTCATTGGAAACAATAAACCAAAGCTTAAGATGGAGCATGGAGGAGGCTACTGTTGTTCACTCTATTTCTTAAAAAAGTGTACCATGTATTTGTGAAAAGGTACACATTTATTTTCAGAGAAGTTTGCATTTTATGAATAAACTAGTACGTATACCTTAAAATCCTCACCATATGTTAGTTAAGGTACACGTCTATGAAAATATAAGGCTACTTTATTCACCTTTAAAAAAGTGCCTGGTGTAAAATTACCTGCAGAGGAAAACTTGATGTCAGCTACTGCTTCAGGTTCCCCAAGTCCTTCTAACGTAATGTCTTCAGCAACAAGAGGAGGAAATCCTGCCATTCGCTCTTTTCCACCCATTGGAACCTTCCATTGAGATAAAATGAAAATGTTTGTAAATTCAAATTAAATTCTCCATAACTCCAGTATTAAGTAAAGCCCTGATAAGGTAATTCTGTACAGGGACCAAGAATAAAATCCTTTTAACCGTTAACGGTCGAAAAACACCCAAATCACTTCTAGTCAAATGAAAAGCACAGGAAGCCTACAGTTCCCAGTGCCAAGGCCCACATGTGGGTGGTAACCTCCTGATAGCAGAATCTTGCTTTATTAGTTTACACTCTTTTTACAGCCCTCCGTAAACCTTTACAAAGAGTAATGTTGGGCAGTTAGGGCAACATTTTTCCAAATACTTGAGCTCTTAGAGGCGTGGCTGCCCACAAAAATTAATCCCTGCCTCATGACAAGTCAAGGGTCCATATATATAAGATTCAGCTTCTATGTTTACAGACATTTCCATAAATTGGAAGTGACTGGATAATAATTTATTCATCAGTAGATGTCTCTGTGTTTAGCACTAGGGGCAAAAAGAGATGTTACAGCATGATCCTGTCCCCCACGGAGATCAGAAGGTGCAAATAACATGTAAACCGATTACAAGGTAAGAAATGTGATGAGAGGCATATAAAGTACCATTGTCAGGGAGGAAGAAGTAAAGAATGGGTTTTGGTCAAGGAAAACCTTATTGAAGCAGTATCTGAGCAGTATCTTGAGAAATAGGTCAAAGTTACCCAGTGGAAAGTTATTCTGGGTTAGCATCAGGTATAGACATAAAAACTGGAAAAAGGGTGAGTTCAGGAGCTGTAGTGGAACAGTCCAGAGTATGTTGTGTGTGTATTAGTGATGAGGTCATCAGTTCAGACTTCCCAGTAATGTGGAACGACCAAGGGGTTATAAAGAGGAAAGAGAACACACAGATAAAGAATTATACTTCCCCCCGAACTACGCCAACACTATGACCTGATTTGTATTTGGGGGAGCTCTCTCTAGTGCAGGAGTCCTCAACCTCAGCACTACTGACTTTCTGGACTGAATAATTCTTTGTACAGTATAGGGCTTTTAAGCAGCATCCTTGATCTCTACTCAGGACCTACCAAGTTGTGAAAACCAAAAATGTCTCCAGGCATTGCCAAATGTCCTCTGGGGGCCAAAAGTCAATGCTGGTTAAGAACCACTGCTCTCGTGGCTAGAAAATATATTTGGGGTGGGTGGTGGGAGGAGGGCAATAAAAACTGGAAGCTGAGAAAATATTTAAGGATCTCAAAAACAGCCTAATGAAAGCAGATGACAGCTTGAACTCCAAGGCTGGAGTCAGAGAGAAACTGCTTGTGTCACACAGGGAGAGCACACTGGGATCACTGCTTTGGAAAGTATCAGTGATGTCCATTCTGAAAACACAGATGCATGGGAGTAGAGCAACACAGAGTTCATGTTTCTGAGAACCATGTCATACAAACCAAGAAAGTTTTCTTTCCTCCAAGTCTCAAGCTGTACTTAAACTTATTTTACCTAAAAAGTGAACAAATAGAACTAAAGCCTTCTGTTGCAGAAAAAGCAACAGATCCTATATTGCTAATTGCCTTATGTGCTCACCCACTCAGCATATCCTACAAAAGTCTCTGGAATATTAACTTTAGGGTAGTTATTTCAGTGGATTTTTTTTTTTTTAAACTGGCTTGAGAGGAAGGGGAAGAGAGATGGAAAATCTGTTTGTTTTTCCACTTATTTATGCATTCACTGGTTGTCTTGTATGTGCCCTAACTGGGGATCAAACCCACAACCTTGGCATACTGGAAGGCTGCTCAAACTTACTGAGATAGCCTGCCAGGGTTCAAAAGAGTTTTAATTTCAGTGTAGCTTTCTTAGGAAATCCAGAGAGAAGTATTTATATGTCAAGCCAGGTTTGTTTTTATCATCTTTGAAAGGCAGATATATATTTTGTTTTGACTTATTTTTGGTTGTGTGAGCATTACTAAATGTTAAATTACCTTTGCATTGGATGCATCTGGTATTTTTGCAACAGTTAAGTTCCACCAATCACCACTACAAACACTTACATAGCACTTAGAATAGGGTCCTGGAACTTAATTCTCCCCAGACCTCGACGTCATAATGGAGGCTCAACACAGACAGGAAAGGAAACTTGCCTGAAGTCCCACAGCTTTGTTGAGCGGCGGAGAGGAGTGGAATCTGATTCCAGTCTGGCTTCAGTAATCTTAATCATTACACATTACTCGCTAGCTAACAGCATCTACAGCTTATCTTGTTAAGGGGCTGAAAACAGTCTTTGGAGAATTTGGCAAGAACAATTTCAGTGGCACAGTAAGGGCTGAGAACAGGGACTTCAGAGGGTGGGACATGAGGAGCAGGAGCAAACTTGATTATAAAGGGGAGGAATAAAGAGGAAACCGAGTGTTTTTATTTTTTAAAATCCTTACCAGAGGACATTTTTTCCATTGCTTTTCAGAGACAGTGGAAGGGAGAGAGAGAGACACTGATGTGAGAGACACGTCAATTGGCTGTCTCCTGCACACGCCATGACTGGGGCTGGGGATCGAGCATGCAACTAGGTACCTGCCCTTCACCAGAATCGAACCACAAACAATTCAGTCCATGGGCTGACGTTCCAACCACTGAGCCAAACCAGCTAGGGCCTGAGTTTTGGTTTTTAAAGATGAGAGAAATCTTAACATATTTATAGGTTGAAGCAAGGAGTGAGTTAAGCAGGAGAAGAGGTGAGATACTCTATAAGTGTCTGGGATTAAGAAGCTGGGAGAATTCTGCCACCCAGACCAGGACTTCTCCACCTTGGCAGTACTAACATTTTGGACCAGATAATTCTGTGTTGTGAGGGGTTGTCTGTCCTGTGCACTGCAGAATGTTTAGCATCATTCTTGGCCTCCACCCACTAGATGCCAGTAGCATCCCCCAGTTGTGAGATAATCTGTAACTTCTCTTCACTCAGCATTATCCAGTACAACTTTCTGCAATGATGTGACTTCTGAGCAGTTGAAAAGTGGCTAGTACAACTGAAGAACTAAATTTTAAATTTTAATTTAAATTTAAATAGCCACACATGGCTACCATTTTGGACAGTATATTCTAGAGAAAATACAGCTCTGTAGCTATCCTAGGATCAGTACAACATCCCTTTTCTTATAGGGCCCACTTTACTTCATAGCCCAAATCCTCAAGGAGAACACGTGAGGGGAGAGCTAGCTGATGGTATAACAGAGATGATACTGCCTAACAAAGGCTTTCTTAGCAGGGCTGTGGGACTGTCATGGAGTAGCTAACCTGACTGGGCAATCATCAAAGGGTGTCACCTCACCTTGAGTAACGTATGACCTGCATGCTTCTCATATATAGCATCTGCCTTGTCCAAGGAGGTAATGTGCACAGGAAGGAAGTTGGAAGCCACAACTGTAAACCAAGCTGATTGACTTCCCTTAAAAAAGAAATAAGTTATTTTACACAATGAAAAACTTGCAAAATCAGCACAAGGCACAATTTTTAAAAAAATCAAGCTCCCTTATAAGTACTGGTATGGCAGCTGTAATCAAACTATATTAATGCCTAAAAATAAGGGCACAATATGGCAGAAACAGTGCATTTCAAAAATTTATGTAAAACTATGATTCCTTCCATAGGCTTGTTGATATCATTTAAAGAAATGACCCTTTTATTACTGTCTGCTTCAACTGTGCCTGTGTAAAGTTAGGTTTAAAAATTAACTTTCTGTGAGCTTTAAAGAAATATATAAGGGTTTTAAGTATGTGATGCTAAATTTCCAACAAATTATGAACAAACACCAAACCCAAGAAATGTACTAAAGCAATGGGCCTTCAAGTTGCAAAAAGTGCTGTTGGACTTTCCTTTTTCTCCTCACTTTGGCAAGACGGGGCAATTCTATAGATACTCTAAAATCCCCAGAGTGATGCTATGTAAATGAACACCAACCAAAAACCACACATATAAAAGCATACATAATATGCGATATAAAGTGTGGAGTTTATTTAATGCATATTAAACCTGTACTTAAATGGTTTGACCAATGATTTCCCTGTGAAACAATACCACAGGATAGGGGCAGTATCTTTTCTTAGTGCCAAGCTGTATGGGGCACTGAACATCTTAGTGAAGATATAGTTTTAAGCACTACTATTGTATTTCCTTCTCATTAATTTTTCCCAAGTTTTTATAATGGGCATTAGAATAGTATATCAATGCCCCACATAGTCATGACCTAGCTATCAGCATTTTGTCAGTCTTGTTTATAAATCTTCTTCCTTGAAATAAATCCAAAAACTATGTCATTTTTAAGTGGTACAGAGTTCCCTTACCTGCAGAAAATCTATTCGGCCTATGGCACCCAAAAACAGAACCATTCCAGGTTTAAGCACAAAAGTTCTTGGGACAATGGAGTGTGTTGGCAAGACAATATTTACTTCTTTTTCTGTTAGAAGATTTAAAATCTGTGAAGCAAAGGGCAGATTTTTGGGGAAAATTACTTTTACAGAAGATATGATTTTTACCTCTAAGATAAAAAGTGATGAAAAAATATTCCAGACGTCACAATACACCAAAGTATGTCAGAATTTGCTGCACATAAAATTTATTCTGCCTGGCTAACATGGCTCAGCAGTTGAGCATTGACCTATGATCCAGGAGATAGCATTTTGATTCCTGGTCAGGGTACATGCCCAGGGTTTCGGGCTCCATCCCCAGCACGGGGCATGCAGGAGGCAGCCGATTAATGACTCTTATTACTGATGTTTCTATCTCTCTCTCCCTCTCCCTTCCTCTCTCTGAAATCAATAAAAATATATTTAAAAAAATTTACTCATCCTTTCTGTCTAAATGGAACAATTTATGAATGGCTCTACTCGTTTCACAACTTAATCTTGAGTAATATCAAAATAAATTTACGAGTAGATATTTTCTTTCTTATGTCAGTAGCATCCCTCTGTCAAAATTGGCATGAACTGAAAACACTGATGATTCAATTCCAAGAGAGAAAATAAGTTCTCACCATCAAGACTTCTGGGGAGCAGCAGTTTTCAGCTAAACGTAAGGCAATAAGCTATCTTATGTCCTAGTGGCAAGTACACATGCAATGAATGCAAAATGGTTACAGCATTCTAGGAGCAGGTAAAGAGCTTGAAGAACCCCTTTCTAAATTCTGGACTTTAGATTCCTTATTTCCCCCAAATACTCAGCAAAAAGTGAGAGAAAGTTATGAATCCTCTGGTTTCTAAGGATGAAGAGTTCCTTAATAGACTAGAGAAAATAGAAAAGGAAAACCAGGAAGTACAAGATTCTGGTAAGACTTAAGGAACGAAATCTGATTTTAAAAGAAAAAGAACAGCCCGGCCGGGCGTGGCTCAGCGGTTGAGCCTTGACCTGGGATCCAGGCGATCAGGGTTCGATTCCTGGTCAGGGCACATGCCCGGGTTGCGGGCTTGATCAATGAATCTCTCATCATTGGTGTTTCTATCTCTCTCTCTCCCTCTCCTTTCCTCTCTCTGAAATCAATAAATATTAGAAAAGAAAAAAAAGAACAGAGGTTTAAAAAAAAAAAGTGGGGGGGAACCCTTTTGTGATCTTGGTTCTTAAGAAAAATAATAAGGAAACAGAAAATACTACCCTGGCCAGGTGGTTCAGTTGGTTGGAGTGTCATCCTACATACTAAAAGGTGGCGGGTTCAATCTCTGGTTGGGTGAGTGTGGGAGGCAACCGATGGATGTTTCTCCCTCTCGCCCTTCCTCTCTCCAAAATTAATTAAAGAAAAAAAGGGATACCTAGAGAGGCTCACAAGAAAATACATAAGGGGGCTGCAAGTAGTTTCCCCTATCATATGTGTTTGAAAAAGCATATTAAAAGCCACCTGCAGTAAAGACACCTTTTAACACTTTTTAGACACTAATACTTCCATTTCACAACAGAATTTCTTGGTTTGGGAAACACTGATTTAAGGCATCAAGTAAATATATCAATAAACTGACACTAGATGCAAATTACCTTAAAGACCCTTTATATCTCAACACTCAAGGGTCTGATTCTGCTGGCTAGAATATTTAGCAAATTCTTGCCTGACTATTTGACAAGAGGTATATATAACTAAAGTAACTGCTATCCCTGACCTGAGACTAAAAGGGGAAAATGAGTTGAAGTTAAAGTGACAGAACATTATTAGAAAGCAGTCCAGTTACTCTGAAGTTTTTGATTGCTAAGAAAAGATTGGACACAAGCAATTATTCTAGAAGGGAAAAGAAAAGTTAAAAGACCCATATGATTCTATGATGTGGGTCACCAAATAGAATACAGTTTTGAGAATAAAATGCTAAGTAATCCTGATGAGGCCAAGAAAGGAAAAGTACCTAAGAAACCCATGTTTCACAGGGAGATACTGAGATAATTAGGCGAATTAGATACTGGTCAGTAACCAGATTCAAAGGAAGCTGATTAATAGATCTGCCATAAGGCTGTATCCTGGATGCACACCTGAGTCAATAAATGACTTGGATGATCAAAACTGCAAATAAATAAAAAGTTGTGAGATTTAAAAAGTATGTAGGATATAGGCTTAATTTAATAAGCTAGAATCAAAGCTTTCCAGGAGATACTGCAATTGAATTAAAAAGATGTAGAGGCAAGAGAGGTAGAGTTAATCCTGTTCTAAATTATACTGAAATGAGGGCACTTTTACAAGAAATTCCATTCTTTTTTTTAAATCCTCACTGGAGGATAGGTTTATTGATTTTAGAGAGAAAGGAAGGGAGAGAGAGAGAACCATCGATGTGAGAAACATTGATCAGTTGCCTCCCATACACACCCTGACCAGGAATCAAACCTGCAACCTAGGTATGTGCCTTGACCTGGAATCAAACCCGCAGCCGTTTTGGTGTGTGGGACGATGCTCCAACCAACTGAGCCACCTGGCCAGGCGAGAGAAGTTCCTTTCTTACTGTCATACTCTGAGAACAAAAACAAATTAGAAAACATTCTGAAAGGGGCCTGGGTTGATGATAACCTATCTCTTGCAGAGATGATATATAGAAAACAAGGACAAACAATCTGGATTATGTCAGCATAGGAAATGCTAAATGTTTGTTGGATGAACTAATGAAAGAAAAGGGTAGAGTGAGGGAGAGGACATTATACTTTAAAATATTTCAAAGCTTTGAGAATAATGGGTACAAGTTATAGAGAGACTGTTCAATAGAAAGAACAGGTCAAAACCAAGCAGGTCACCGTGGGAGGCAAGGTGACCCTGCTGTAGCTGATGAGGAGTCAGCCCTTACTTCAGTTCAAGCTGGATGCCCTTTGATGAATATGTTAAAGAGGGACTTCAAGCGTGGGATAGGTGGCTGGACTGCAGTGATATTTATGATTTCTTCCAACCTCAAAATCTATGATTCTCCCTAACTAAGGTAAATGTCTCCGTAACTAAGGTAACAAGCACAATAATACAAGTAGGGTGTCAGCAATGAAGCCCAACAATGAAATATAAAACTTGCTGGTATATAGATTTATCCCTGAACCACTTCTAATAGAGTCAGAACTGAGTCTATAATGAAAGTATACCTCCTTTCTTGTGTTCTACCAATTAAGACAGTACTCATGCAATTGAAAATTAATGTTTCTATAGCCCAAGTGCCCATAAGAAGGTGAGTGAAGAAAAAAGCTGTGGCACATTTACACCATGGAGTACCATGTGGCTGTAAAAAAGGATCTTTTACCCTTTGGGACAGTATGGATGGACCTGGAGAGCATTATGCTAAGTGAAATAAGCCAGTCAGAGAAAGACAAGTACCATATGATCTCACCCATATGTGGAATCTAATGAACAAAATAGAACCAGAGACATAAATAAATGGAACAATGACAGATCTCAGAGGGGAGGATGGGGAAGAGATCAACCAAAGAATATATATGCATATATGCATAACCCATGGACACATAATAGTGTGAAGGCCTGGGGTGGGGTGGGGTGGTGCAAGGGGCAGGGTGGAGGGAGACAAAGGGAGCAAAGGGGGCAAATGGGGGACATCTGTAATAGTCAACATTAAGAAAAAGGAAGTTAATGTTTTTAAAATACATACACAATTTTCCTTTGTAATTCCAGGGGTGTCATAAAACCAGTGGGCATCTTTCACGTCTTGTGGGGTCAGTTCTACTCGTTTGATGGGTTTATCTGCAACCTTAACAGGCTCATTTCCCATTTCAAAGGCAAGTGAATCAGCATCAAACGCAAAGGCAGCTTCATCCTTCTGCTCTGAATACAGGAATGTTCTTCCAACTCTTCCTAGAGCCAGTTATATTGAAATTGTTAGATACTGCTTTACAGCCTTTGACTCCAGACAGGTAATTCTTTTTCTCTTTTTAAATATATCTCTATTGATTTTGGAGAGAGGAAGGGAGAGGGAGATAGAAACATCAATGATGCGTCACTGATCGGCTGCCTCCTACACACCCCCTACTGGGGATGGAGCCTGCAATCGGGTGTGTGCCCTGACCTGGATTTGAACCACAGTCTCCTGGATCCTAGGTGGATGCTCAACCGCTGAGCCACACCCAACCAGGCCAGACAGATCATTCTTATACTTGCATCAAAGAAGTTACTAAAACTATGAGCTATGAAAGTGAGACTACAATGATATATTGCTCTGATTTTTTAAAAAAGGCAGGAGTCAGACTCTTGCAATAATCAAGTGTGTGGCTGGCTGTGTACACCAGGCATGGGGGAACAGTTGGAAATCAAACTTATTAGTAAAAGAAGGTTGAGAAGAGATATCAAGCAAAGGGGACCTTCTAACTTACAGCTGCTGCATGGAGTCAACAACTGTACTGGTCTGCAAGGAGGAGGGCTGTATCTAAGTGGAAATGCTTTTACTGCTGACAACGGCTGGGCGGACCATTACTATGATTCCTTGCCTGGATTTCTTCAAGCACCTCTGTCACAATGTTCTCAGCACAGTGAACTCTTGGTTTCTAAACAGTAGCCTTGCCTCTAAAGGGCCTTGATGTTCCAGAATGAGGAAAATCATCTCTTCCCACAAAAACTGGCTAGCCCCAGACAGCTTATTTCAGGTTGCTCAACAAAGAGTTTGAACACAGACCCCCCCCAAGAGTTTTCCTATAGAAGAGGCTTACCTACTACATAACCATGCTTTTTTAAAAGGTTAAGTTGATTTTGTTCTAGCTGACTAAGATCTTCTTCAGCTTCGGTTGCATATTTTTTCAGCCTTTTTTGTCTTTCAAACATTCTGTAAGGAGTTGGGTTGCAAATAGGAAACTTCAGAAGGTTTAATGTAGTACCTGAAATACCAAGGAATATATTTTAATAAAATTGCACAAGGGAATAAGGGGAGGAAAAGTAACATTTTTGAGGAGATACACAGTCTTAAGTACTGTGATTTATTTCATTTAACCCCCATGACAACCCTCTACAAAATTATTCTTACTTTACAAATGAGGAAATAGGTTCAGAGACTGGCTCACAGGCTCAATCAGAATGTGAATCCCAAATCTGCAGATCTGATTTCTTTTCATTTTCACCACACTACCATCCTATATCAAAGCACCTCTGTGTATAATTCAACCAAAGTTCAGGAGAGGGAAGAACAGTTTATGAAACAAAGTTAAACCCTGGTTTCAAAGGAACAAATGAGGGAGTTAGTTTTGTCAAATGTTAAATACAAACAGGGTGACAGAAGGACCCATTCTGCAATTACAAAATTTTTTTAAAGCCACAAAATTGACATTTCTTCTCAACAAAGCCACACATCATACTGTGTTAGTGAATTATTCAAAGGTTAAATGTGTACAGTATATTGATCACAGGAATAAACTCAAAATAGTGGAAGTGGGTTTAGAAAGTCAAAGGACTTTCCAGGGAAACATACAAAGTAAAGCTACAAGGGAAACCTCAAAGACAGCAGGAACTGTATTTTGCTGCCTGGTTTATCTCCAGTGCCTAGAACAGTGACTGGAACATAGAAATGCTCCATAAATATTTGAATTAGAAAATTACTACAACTACTAAATTTTCAAGCACTAAGCTGACACACAAGAGAGGTGTGACTATAAAATGGGGAGAGGATTGTTAAAGGGAAGGCTCCAGACAGTTCCTGGTGGACAATTAAGCACCTCGGAAAACGAAGGGGGCGGACCTACTAAGGCTCACCAGGCCAAGAAGAGATGGTGGCTCGGTCAATGGCCTCAGCGCCCTTCGCAATGCAGTAATCCGACTCCAGTAGCGTGTTGAAGAGAGTGGACTTGCCAGCGTTGGTGGCACCCACCAGGTAGACGTCGCCGCGGTACCGCCAGGAGCGCTGAAGCGCGGAGATCAACTCTTCCACTCCATAGCCAGTCTTGGCGCTAATGAGCCGCACGTCCCTGAGTACCGTACGGGACCTGGCCGAAGGTTTCGAATTCTCTTCCCCATCAGGTGACCCTTCTCCGCCGGGGTGCAGTGGCCCTCGGTGGCCAGGGGCCCGCAGGAGCCCGGCGCGGACACAGTCATCCCACAGACGCTCCCGGAGGCGCTGCAGGTAGCCGGGAGCGTCCTGGGGCAGCAGGTCCACCTTGTTCCCCAGCACGATCACCTGCTTGGGGCCTACCAACGCGGGCAGGTCGGGCAGCAGGGCGTCGGGCAGATCGAGCAAGTCCACCATGTAGAGCACCAGGGCGGGCCCGGGCTGCCGCAGCGCGGCGCTCACCAGCTCCAGGTACTGCCCGCGGCTCACCTGCAGGCGCAGGGCGCGCCGGTGGTGCACCAGGAGCCAGCAGCGCTGGCACACGGTCCGCGCCAGCCCGCCGTCGCCCTGCGCCGCTGCGCTCAGGAACTTCTCGCTGGGCAGGTAGCCAGGTGCGCCAGGGTCCTGGCAGTGCAGCTCTGCCCCGCAGCCCGAGCAGCTCAGGCCGCTGGAAGGCACGGTGGGGTCCGGGTACCCCACGGCCGGGTGCACCCGGAGGCGGGCCCGTAGCTTCTGCTGCCGCCGCTCCTCCCGCCGCTGTAGCTCCAGTCGTTCCTCCTCTTCCTGATGCTGCTGCAGCTCCCGCAGCTGCTTTTCGAGGGTCGGTGCGGGCTCCGGCTCCAGGACGTATTCGGGGAACAGAAAACGCTCCTCCATATCATCCCTTCCTTCGTAACCCGCAGTCGCCGTCCGGCCCCGAGGAAGCCCACGTCCCAGGCCCGATGGGTCCCGGGAGGAGGTGGCGGCCGCGCATCTCCCCCCGAGGAGCGGCTCCTGGAGGCCATGGCGCGCGACCGTGGGAGGTGGTACCCGAAGTAAAGGCCAGAGGAGTCTACGGGTCAGGCGTGCAGGCAACATGGGGAACGTGTCCCCGGAACAAAGGGGGCGGAGCCGCGCGCGCGCGCGCACGGCGACCGGAGATGCGCGTTATTCTGACTGAGTCGCGGGACTACCTAACAGCTGTTATTTCTGAGCCGCCGCATTTCGGCTCCTCCTCCCCCGTGTAATCCCGCAAATTCTCGCGATGAGGGTACGGAGGCTCGAGAGCCCGCTTAAAGCCGCGGCCGAGGTACCAGAGACCTAGACTGTGCTGCTTGGGCCGGAGACTAGCGAGGGCATTGTCACTTTCAGGCTTCTTTAACGCGCCACCGCTGGCACACCAGCCCTTTGTCACGTTTTAAAAAGCATTGTTTTTTGGCTTTAAAAGTGCAAAAACTAGAGCATTAAATGTAGCGGACTTGCAGCCGCAATTAAAACTTATAAGTACTGGCTTTCTTTTTTTCAGATGTCATTATTTGTGTAACAACATTGAAAAACAAAAAAATATTTTCGTTGGCTGGATCCGATCCTCGGACTGCAGTAGGTCCTCACAATCAGCCACCGAAAGTGTCGGCCCACAGTTTGCGCCTGCGCAATTCTAACCGTTATCCCCCCTCCCCCCCGGCTACCATTTGCGCAGGCGCAAATCTTACCTTGGCTTCTTCGTGGGTGGTCTTAGGCGGAAGACGCAGAGTATTCTGGGAACACCGGAGGCGGAAATCACTTTGTCTCACACTCCGGGTTCTGGTGGATGAGGTTTGCCTTTCTGCCTGTGATTTCAAGAGTTCGGAGCTCGGAAACCATTTGCCACCATGTATGACGCAGACGAGGGTAGGTGACCGCTCAGAAAACTCCGCGGAGACCCACCTGTGGAGGGAAACGTGGGGAGCTGGACGGATTGAGGGTTTGCGGCCTTCCTCCAAGCCGGTTACAAGTGTCCCCAGCCGTGCCCCCCACGTACCCCAGGCCCGGAACGAGGCCGGGATTGCAAGAGGTGGAGGGTGCAGGGAATGTAGCGTTAACGTCCCCGGCCAGGGTGACACTGGTTTTCTCCACGTCTTGCTCCTTGATGAATCATAACTACCTTCCAGTACTGAAATAAAGGGCTCTTTTAAAATATTTCCCTTAAGGCCAGAGTTAGTGGATTTATTGAATAGTATGATTTTTGAGCGTCACCCTGTGACAGGCATTGTGCTAGGCTCCGGAAATACACCGGGGACAAAGAACATTGTGTGTGTGTGTCTAATTTGGCATTCCTTCATGCTGTCATATGTCTAAATAAGTTTTAATCTTCTTCCCAAAAAATGACATAGTTAACTGGGGCAATGTCTTTGTTTTTTCTTTCCATGTATGTAATTAGTCATGTCTAGTGTATTTTCATTGTGTATTTTTAAAGCTCTCTCTTCCATTCTCCACAGCTACTATTTCAAACTTTATTTTCTTCTCCCTTCCAATCCCGTGGCCACCCCTCACTTTCTTCTTATTCCCTCAGCTACTTCATGGAGAAAACAGAAAAACAAAAGCTTAAACTCTGCTGCTTAAACTTCTCTGTCTCATTTATATCTGAGTCAAGAAATTTATTAGCATCATTACATTCTCCTTTCTTAACTCCTATCTCAATGGAAAAGAAATTCAGAGAAGTTTTTTTAGCTTTATTTTTCCAGTAGGTAACATATTCTTGTATCTCACAAGCCAGAAAATGTAAAAGTGTCAGGTCTCCAGTGGCAGCTCCCTCCACAGCAGCTCCACGTTCTTCGATTTTTTTCTTTTTTACTTACTAGATCACCGGTTTATTGTGAAAAGGGGTTCCTTGATTCTTATCACTCCATAGATCTGTGTGCATATTCAAACAAACAAATGAGATTCTGTTTCCCCCCTTTACAGATAAGAAAGATTTACACTTTTCTGTATTTTTATATTTTACTTTATACATACGTAGATTTTCATATCAATAGAGAGCACCCTTTTTTTTTTCTTTTTCCCCACAGCTACCTAGTTTGTGTGGATATATACCATAACTTAAGTAGTGCCTTAGGTAGTGGTTCAAACAGTGCTGGAATAAATCATCTTGTATGTGTAATTTTGTCCAGTACAAGTATGTCTGTAGGATAATTTCTAGGTGTAGAATTGTTGAGTCAAATGATATACGCATTTAACATTTTGCTAGATGATGCCAAGTGACCATGGTGATTGCTTTAATTTTCCTTCTCATTAATGATGTATAATAATACTGTGAAAAAGTAGTTATAAGTTATTCCTTTTATCAAGTCTGTTTCAGCATTGAATTTACGTTCTATTTCTGTCTGTGTCCTTTGATATCTTTGTTAGATATGCCCTCATCAGTTTTCATATACTCCTTTTCAGCTGGCCTCTATGTGAAATATTAGACTTCTCTTGTCTGCAAGGAAATAAGTTAAATTCTTTTTTTTTATTTAAAAAAACATATCTTTATTAATTTCAGAGAGAGGAAAGGAGGGGGAGAGAGAGATAGAAACATCAATGATGAGAGAGTCATTGATTGAGCCCACAACCCGGGCATGTGCCCTGACCGGGAATCGAACCCCGATTGCCTGGATCCTAGGTCGATGCTCAACCGCTGAGCCACGCCCGGCTGGGCAAGTTAAATTCTTTATTGTTTCCTCCTTCTTCCTATATTTTGCCTTTGGCCTTCCATCACAGCAAGTTTCTAAAAAAAATAGGCTGTCCTTGTTTCTAATTCCCTCTCCTTTTGCCTAGTTTACTTTTACTTATTAAAAAATGAGGTCTCTGCCTAGCTCAGCTTTTGGGAAGTCTTCCCTAACCTCCTCAGGTCCTGGTTAGGACTGTCCATATCACTTTGTTCTTATTCCCAATTGATTTCATCTTACCTATATCTCCTTGGTAGGTGATAATCTCCTTGAGGATGAAGCCATCTTTTATTGTGTAAAAGGTGGTGTCTCCAATCCCTGGGACATAGTAAACACTCACATTCAATAAATATTTGAAGAATGGATGAATGAATAAATTAGTAACCTTCATGGGTTCATTTTCTTTCACATGACTAACAGCAGTGTTCTCTAATAGTCTGCCTTCAGTCTTCCTTCTCTTTGTAAACTCTGTATTCTACCAACCCCATGTTAATGATTCTCAACTCTGTAATTTAGACCCCTTGTTTGAGTTCCATGTTTATGAATATTTAAAGGGATAAATGTTTTGTAAGTATACCTAAAGCTGACCTCATCATTTTTTTTCCTTTTCCCACCTTATTGCTTTTCCTATGTGGCTATGAAATTAACCTCTAATTAACCTCTAATAGCTAGAAATCTCTGAGCTATTTTAGATACCTTTTTCTTATTCCTCTCCCCATGAGTAGTGATCAGTAATTCCAGTCTATTCAAGAAGAATTTGTTAAATAATTTATTTTAGTTATGTATCCAATTTTGAATCCAGAGCTCAGAATATGAAAACAAAAATACAGCTTACTTTTTTTTTTAAATGTTTCTATTGATTTCAGAGAGAGGAAGGGAGAGGGAGAGAGATATAGAAACATCAGTGATGAGAGAGAATCATTGATCAGCTGCCTCCTGTTCACCCCCTACTGAGGATCCAGCCCACACCCTGGGCATGTGCCCTGACCGGGAATTGAACTGTGACCTGGTTCATGAGTCGATGCACAACCACTGAGCCGCACTGGCTGGGCCACACTGTTCTTTAAGAAAATGAGACTAACATTAGGGGATCAGTGCACACTGATTTTTCAAGTGCTCTATTCAAATTATTATTGCTGCATAACTCCCAGAATTTGGCGGTTGAAAAATTAATTTCATATGTTCATGGGTTTAAGTGGTCAGGAATTTGGATAGAGCATAGTGGGAATGACTTGTCTGTTCCATGTCAGTAGTTCACCTTGAAGACTTAAAGGATGGGTGTTGACAGCTAGGGGCTGGATGATCTGGAGTGTTTACTCACATGTCTGGCACCTAGCTTAGAAGGACTCAAGGACTAGGATTGCTGACCAGAGCATCTATAAGTAGCCTCTCCATATGACTTGGGCTTCTTCACAGTATACAAGTTTAGAGTACTAGGACTTCTTAATGGCAATTCAGGGCTCCAGAATTAAGTGTTTCAAGAAACAAGGTGGAACAACATTACCTTTCTTGACCTAGCTTCTAAAGTTGCATAACATCATTTTAGCTACATTGTCTTAGTTTTGGGAGAGTAAAAAACCTGCCCACATTCAAAGGAAGGAAACATAGACCCCTGTATCTTTTTAAAAAATATATGTTTTTAGTGATTTTTAGAGAGGGAGGAGAGAAACGTTGATCAGCTGCCCCCTGCACGCCCCCTATTGGGGATCAAGCCCGTAACTGGACATGTGCCCTGACCCGGAGTTGAACCACTGATCTCTTGGTTCCTGGGGTCCGCTGAGCCACACCAGACAGGCAGGCCGCTGTATCTTGGTGGCCATCTTTGGAAAATACAGTCTGTTAAACCTGTACATGTATGAAATGTTGCTGTAATGGACCACCTCACCTTAAGGTATTGCCCAAGTATTGGAACACTTTTCTGTCTCTACACTCTTACCTTAATTTCTGACTCCAGTCTCTGGGGAGCTTAATGACCAGAGGACTATGAGCTTGCTCCTAGTTACTTTCATAGTTAGCTATGAATGATAATTACATGGACATTCTGGAGAAGATGGAAAACTTACAGATTCACACACTTATGCTGAACTTTTGTAATGAGGCCTTTTTGTATATTGGGAGAATACCTATGTGATGTACAACTGTATATATATAGATGTATACCTATGTTCATTATTTCATTACAATTTAATTAATATAATTGACATTTTAGAAAAGAGGTAAAAGGATTGCTTTTTATTTAGCAGATACCGTCTTTGGAGCAGATGTTAATTAGTAGCATTTTATTCCAAATGAGTACAATATTTTTGTTTCTTGCAGATATGCAATATGATGAGGATGATGATGAAATCACACCAGATTTGTGGCAAGAAGCATGCTGGATTGTAATCAGGTAACTTTTTAGACTAAACTGAATAAACTTTAAAAGGCACTGTAACTTATAAAGAGATTTCCTGCTTA